GATATTTCACGCTAAAAATTAATAAAAAACATATATATAATCTTTACCGCACTAATTCATTGCTCTAATTTTGAAGCAATAATATCAATTTTAATGAACTGACAGTATAAGAAAGAAATAAAATAAAAATCAAACTATCAAATCAAAATAGAATTCACAGAAATAATTTTAGAACTGCCACTTCAGTAGTCCCAGACATTATTCTAACCTTTGTGGACTCTGTGTGTACATTGTATTATTATTGTGCACGAAAGTCTGTCATTTTCTCAGGATAAGTCACAGCCCAATCAAATGTCTTCTATAATTCATTCATTCATACATACATACATAGCATGATAGCATCTCAAATTCTCCATAATTCTAATCAGTTGAAAGTAATAATTAAAAAGTATCAGTTAAAAATATTTTTTTATTTTTTAATAATTAATTTTTTTTATAGATTATTTAAATTATTTATATTTTATAAACTATAAATAAAAACTACACTAAATAGTTTAATATAAAATTTCAAAATAAACAAAATTATAAAATTATATACATTTTATAAATTATAAATAAAAATTACACTAAATACTTTAACATAAATTTTTTAAACAAATAAAATTATAAATTACATCATAAACAGCACCCAACAATACCAAATTATCATAGTTGTCCTAATTAAAATAAAATAAAAAAATTATAACCAAACATCATATAATAAAAAATATTTTGAATTATCATCAAAATAATATTATAATTAATATCACAATAAGTCATAACTAATCATACAATAAGTTATAACCAAAGAGATAAAAATCATAATTAAAAGTGCATATGATACACACTCCATAATTCACTCGGTAATGGTTTTGAGCAACCAAATATACCACGTGAATCACAACGCGGCATAGAACGCGTTACCACTTTGACCCGAGTAAATCGACACTCGGGGCCCACCTAAAAAATAGACCTAACTTAGGAAAAAATTCTGGTTTTATCCAGAATTTTATAACCATTTCCAACATAAGTGCCACGGTAGATACGAGTGCCACGGTAGATACTTGCAAGTGCCACTGCACCATCATGGCTAAAAACTTTCAATGACATTTTAATGTCATGGTAGATATTATTTATGGCACTATCAAGTGCCATTAAAAAAAGAGTTAGTGACACTTATAAGTGTCATTACACCATCAAGACTAAAACCTTTCAGTGACACTTTAATGTCATGGTAAAGTGTCACGGTAGGCACTATTCGTGACGCTATCAATTGCCATTCGTGACGATAATTCGTTGTAGAACAATTTGATCCGCTCTTGCAGAGACTCGAACCGCCAACCTCCCGCACCATAAACCTTATACACCACACTCTTCCCACTACACCTCTATAGCACCATATGACTATATATGCAACATATATTATTTATATAGTACATACATCTATATTAATATAAAAGTATATGTATAAACATAATTATTTTATTGAACATAATTTATGTAAAATAAACTATTTACTAGTAAAATAAAAAAAAACACTTTTGGCGACTAAAAATATATTTTGGCCGCCAATTCTATACTTTTGGTTACAAATTATTTTTTAGTTGCTAAAAAACTTAACTTTTGCTGACCAAAATCGGATTTGGTCACCGAAGATGCACTTTCAGCTACCAAAATTTTGGTCACCAAAAAATTTAATTCCCGCCTTAGGATTTTAGGTCTCCCGCGCTAAAAATAACCATTTTTGGGGACTAAACTTATTTTTTAGTCGCCAATTATAGACTTTTGGCTACTAAAATTTTTTTAGTCACCAAAAGCTTTAATTTTGGCTACTAAAATTTTTTTAGTCAGTAAAACCCATATAATCAGTGACCAAACTTATTTTTAGTCGCCAATTGTAGACTTTTGGCTACTAAATTTTTTTAGTTGCCAAAAAGCTTTACTTTGGGCTACTAAAATTTTTTTTGTCACTAAAACCCATATAATCAGCTACCAAACTTAGTTTTGGTCGCCAATTGTAGACTTTTAGCTACTAAAATTGTTTAGTCGCCAAAAAGCTTTACTTTTGGCTACTAATACTGTTTTGGTTGTTGAAAGCTATACTTTCAGCGACAATATTTTTTTTGGTCAGGAAATTTAGTCGCCGAATATGCTTTTTCCTTTAGTGTATATTGAGTTTAATTTATTTATTTTTAATCATTTACTGCATTGTAAAAATTTTAAAAATATATCGGCATATTTTGTTTTTTCAAAAATGCCATTATAAGCTTGGAAAGTTTTTGACTTAGTGACATTTCTCAAAATGCTATAAAATATTTGTTTATGAAACTTTTCACCTAAGTGCCATAAAAAGTAATTTGCACCTACTTAGTATCCTGACATTTTTTAAAAAATGCCATTGCTACTAAAGTTTAGTGGCATCTGTTAGTAAATGTCACGAATATTATTTTTGTGGCATTTTCTAAAAACATGCCACTAGTATAGTGTCACTAAAGTGTGTTTTTGTTATAGTTTTGTGACACTTGTTCATTGAAATGTCACTATAACCTTTTATGTTTCGCTTTGTGGCATTTTTCAAAAACGTGCCACTAAATATCATTTTTGTGGCATTTTCTAAAAAGATGTCACTAGTGTAGTGCCACTAAAGTATATTTTTGTTGTAGCTTTGTGACACTTGTTCATTGAAATGTCACTAGAGCCTTTTATGTTTGTCGTTTTGTGGCATTTTTCAAAAACGTGCCACTAAATATCATTTTTTGTGGCATTTTCTAAAAATATGCCACTAGTGTAGTGCCACTAAAGTATGTTTTTGTTGTAGTGTTACCGCCGTTAAAGGATGTAAAACCGTTGTTAAAGCCTTTAACGACGGTAATTTAGGATCGCCGTTTATACTCGTGTCGGAAAAGGTACAACTATCGTAAAAGGGTAAATTACCGTTGTTAAAAGTTGACAATAAACGGCAGTTCTTTATCGCCGTAAATATGTTCAAATTTTTTAAAAAATAATTCCCTCTTCTTGCACTCCCCAGGTCTCAAACCCTTGACCTCTAATTTACGCACGCCAATCACTCCACTACAACCACTCTATATGAAATATATTCCCTAAATAAATATTTAAACATTACTTTTGCTTTATTGTAGATGGTCATGTTCAACCTCTGGCCATGCGTGGTTACTACTCGCCGGAGTTCCGCCGGCAAAGACCGCCGTCATTAACGGCGGTAATAAGAGGGCTTTAGCGGCAGTTTCGTTACCGCCGTTAAAAGAGGACTTTAGTGGCAGCTTTTTTAACGACGGTTTCATTATCGTCGTTAAAGATACTTTATCGGCGATTTTTTTAACGGCGGTAACGAAACCGCCGTTAAAGATACATTAACGGCGGTATTAACGGTGGTTTCGTTACCGCTGTTAATATCTTTAACGGCAGTAACGAAACCCGCCGTTAAAAAAATCGCCGTTAATGCCCTGTTTTGGCATAGTGATGTATAATGAAATTATATAATAAGTTATTATTAAATGATGATAATAAGTGTTCAATTTATTTATTTATTATTTATTATTATTTTTTTTATAGGAAAAACCTCATTACTCTCCCGCAAGTCCAAGACAATGCCCCTTGCAGAGATCACTAGGGTGTCCTGTTAGCTGTTCTGAGCGAGGAGACTATAACCTGGAAACTTGGGACTATAACCCGGGAACTTGCCCCGACCTCCCAAGACAAACTCCGCTTAAGTCAAGATTCGCACAGCGGGAAAGCATTGAACCTACACCAAGTGCTGATTAGATAACTTGAGGTCCAACTTCCTAACCAACTATGTTTCGCCTAGGAGATTGGCCCAGAGGGGAGAATTAAACCTGTGACCTAGGGGCTTAAACCCCAGGCCTTAACCACAATGCCACCCACCCTTGGATTATTTATTTATTTTTTTAATACTAGAACTAGATTGGTCTAGATTTTTTTAGATGGATGATTGTGTGGTAGAAATTAAATTTATATAGTGGGGTGTCTATATGTAGAATAATTATGAATTACAAAGATAATAATTATAAGTTATTTCTGAATAGTTAATTTTGGATTAGTAGTATTATTGCTTGGGTCTTGCTAACAAGTGCACTTAAGCATAAGTAAAAGATTAAAAAATTAAATAACAGAAGACACATTTTACTAAATTTAATGCATTTTTACTAGAATCAATATATATATATATATATATATTTTAATAATTTTACATATTTTCAAGACATTTATACAAACTTCCCAACATTAAATGATGCATGAACACACTTGTTAGCATTTGCCTTATTTTATCGTTTGGGAAGAGTTGGGAAGAGCTAATCTAGCCTGAATTTTTGATTAATTTAGCCTGGTTAAATTAGTTCTATTTGAGAAGAATTTTTGACATTTTTTTGATCGATCGCGATTGGTAGCTCGAGATTTTTGGCTCGAAATTGGCTCGAAAAAGTGAGAGAGAAGGAGGAGGAGGAGGAAGGAGAGGCTCTTTTCAACGACAATTACATGGAGTAAGTATCTCTCTTTCTCTCTCCATTTTCTCTTCCTTCGTTACATTACTTACTTCATATTGTAAGGTTAGATCTCTATGTTTGATATTTTATTTATTGTGAATGGGGGGGGGAGGAGGGCGGGGGGTGGGGGCTGCGAGGCAGAGGCTGCGACGACGATTGGCGGATGCGGGGCTGCGACGATCGGGCAGAGGCGACGGCGGAGGGCTGCGACGGACGACCTGCCTTCTCTCTCTTTCTCTCTTTCTCTCTTTCTCTCTCCCTCTCCTCTTCTTCTGTTTCAGACCAGCATGACGAAGAAGAAGAAGAAGAAAAAGAAAAAAAAAAAAAAGACATCGTTTTGGGCTGTCGAGCCAAAATCGAGCCACGAATTTCGAGTTACCAGTCATTTTCGTTTTTTGATTTAGATGTGATGATTGTAAAAAAATAATAATAATAATTATAATTTAAATGTCAAATTTTATTTTTTGAACTAAATTAACTTATTTCACCTTTTTTTTATACTTCTTTAGTCATTTTAGTCTTTGCCAAACAAGGCTTTAATATCCATCCCAACTTCCCAATAGTATAAACCCAAACCAGTAGATGCAGAAGTGATAGTAGTAGTGAAAGAACAGAGCATACCTTTACATATTGAGAGAGAGAGAGAAGCAGAGTCCACTCTCCTCTCTTGTAATACAGCTGCTAGAGAGAGATGAAAGTTCAATTCACCTCAGCCCAAACCCACCAATCAACAACCCTTAAACCCCTCTCTTCTACCAACACTGCCGCCCAGAGTACCAGCTCCACCACCACCACCACCACCACCAACACCAACTTCTGCTATGAACCCAAGTCAGTCCTTGACCTCCGCCGTAGCCCCAGCCCTATCGCCGCCGACCCCAATTCCGATGCTCCATCCTTTTCCGATGCCTTGTCACGCTTCGACGATGCTTCCCTCGAGTTTGACGACCACATACGGAACAACTTGGAAGATTGGGAGTCTCTGATGAGAGAATTGGGATTGCACAACGACTCTTCCCCTGCTGCTGCTGCTTTGAGATCCATTGTTCCTCAGTCCAATCACATCGATCCTCAATTCCCAATCCTCTCCGATAATAACCCACCTCCTCCTCACTCCTTCGATCTCGTTCCCAACAATTTCCCCCTCTCTGACTCCAATTCCTTCGATTTCTGCACCGATTTTCATATTGGGTTCAACTTCGTGGACGAGCTGGTTCGAGCTGCGGATTGCTTCGAATCGAACGAATTACAACTCGCGCATGTGATTTTGGCGCGGCTCAATCAACAACAGTTGCGATCACCCGTGGGAAAGCCTCTTCAGAGAGCTGCGTTTTACTTCAAAGAAGCTCTTCAGTCTCTGATCATGGGGTCGACTCGTTCGACTCGTAATTCCTCTTCTTCAGAAGTTGTTCAAGCGATCAAAGCGTACAAGAACTTCTCGATCGTCTCTCCGATCGTCATGTTCTCCAATTTCACCGCCAATCAAGCAATCCTTGAAGCTGTTGATGGTTCCATGTTCATCCATGTGGTTGATTTCGATATGGGATTTGGAGGCCAGTGGGCTTCGTTCATGAAGGAAGTCGCTGATCGAGCTGAGTCTCGCAAATCGAATACTCCGATTCTTCGAATCACTGCTGTTGTTCCTGAAGAGTACGGGGTCGAATCGAGATTGATCAGAGACAATCTCAACCAGTTCGCTCAAGAGCTCGAAATAGGGTTCGAGATTGAATTCGTGTTGATTCGAACCTTCGAATTCTTGTCATTCAAAGCAATCAAGTTCATGGAAGGAGAGAAGACCGCCGTTCTGTTATCTCCGACTATCTTTCACCGTTTAGGTACCGGATTTCTCAACGACCTCCACCAAATCTCGCCGCACGTGGTGGTGGTCGTCGACGGTGAAGGGGTGGCGGACTGCGGAGGGCAGCCGTCGCTTCGCCGGAGTGTGATCGCCGGGCTTGAATTTCACTCCACGGTTTTGGAAACTCTGGAAGCTGCGAATGGTGGCGGCGGAGAAGAGTGGATAAGGAAGATCGAGATGTTTGTGATGCGCCCGAGGATTGTAGCGGCGGTTGAGGCGGCGGTGGGAAGGGTGGCGCCGCCGTGGAGAGAGGGGTTCGCCGCCGCAGGGATGAGGGGGGTGGGGTTGAGTCGGTTTGCGGAATTTCAAGCCGAGTGTTTGCTAGCGAAGGTGAGGGTGAGGGGATTCCACGTGGCGAAGAGGGAGGGGGAGATGGTGCTGTGCTGGCATGATAGGGCCTTAGTTGCCACGTCGGCATGGAGGTGCTAGAGATGTCGTTGTTGCTGTTGTTAAATAATTAACTAACTATTGGAAGTGGGTGATGATAATGAGTAAGGCTCTTTTAGAGTTTTTTTTTTTTAAAGTTTTTTTAGAGTGGTGTATTGTGTGGTTGAGATTTAATGACAAGTCACATTAATTTTTTAACATTAAATCTCAACCATACAATACATCACTTTAAGAAATTTTAGAAAAAAAATATTTTAGAGAATCCTTGGTGGGTGATAATTGGTTAGAGTTTTAAGGGATATATATATATATATATATTATGAATGTGTCTCAATCCCCTAGCCGTTTTGTTTTGTATTTTGTGTTGTTGGTGTATGTTAATGAATAGACTCTGGTTTGTTTTCAAACACAAAATTTTGAAATTCTAGCACTACGAACAATATTCGAGAGTTTTAATTTAAATTGTGTACTTTTTTATTTATTTATCACGTCACTAGAATCCATATTAAAACTCTCCACCACTGCCCATGAAATTAAGAGAAGTTAATTATGTGAAAAAAACTGTCATGTTTTGTCCGAGTTATTATTATTTGACCACAAATTTTGTTAATAAATGTTTCAAGTATAGTAGCAATTATTTGACTCGAATGCATTTAGACAGACAAACAAAAGAAGAAAAAAAGACGTTTTGGACGTGTGTATTTTTAAAGTAAGGAATTAAGTAAATATAACATACCGCAAAATTTGGACGTGTGTATTTTTAAAGTAAGGAATTAAGTAAATATAACATACCGCAAGCGTACTAAGGTTATAATTAGATTTTTTTCCAAGTTCAAATCTAAATATATCTGTCATCTTCAAACTCATAAAACTATGAATCACATTTTAATGATTTGAATAATTTCATTTTGTAAAACTCCTTCTGTGTCATTTCTATGAAAAAAATCAATCTTAAATTTTTTTATTTTATCACATTTGTCTATAAAATAAAAAGACAAAAAGACAGTCTAATTTAAAACATTTGTCTATTTTTCGCAAACAAATGCATAAAAAAAAAACTACAATTATCGAATTGATCAAATTTTTTTTATATACATATATACACAGAAAATCTTATAAAATGAACAGTTTAAATTATCAAAATAATATCATGATAGACCCCACATGACTAAACATGACTGTCACTGTCCACCTCATCATTTTTGTTTCTGCAAAGTATTCAACCTCGTGAGAAAAACTGAACTCATAAGACGAATTTACAGAACAAAACTATGCTGCAATAGAAACAGTATCCAAGATCAAAAGGCAGCTCACTTATCTTATTGGGAAGGACTTCCCAAAAGAAAAAATACACTGCAAAACAGACATTAAAATTACATGTATTTACAGTTCCTTCAAGGCCTCTCCTTTATAATGATGGATCAATTATGTGTGTAGATTAATCAAAAGCTCTCTACCTCATGTTAGAATCACATAAAATAAAAAAGAACAGGTAAGGGTATAGATCAGCAAGTATAACAAACTCTGCTTAATCAAAGGATACAGTCGAAAATTTGTCACGGACTTCAAGAAAAACTCCCCAACTGCAGACTATTATTTTCCTTTTGCAGTCTCTAGCTCTCAATGGTTTCCCTCGCGGTGGCGAGACTTAAGATGTTTGTTAGCGTTATTGTCCTCAAGTTTAGATACCCCATTGGGCCCGCTCACCCTAGTTAACTCTTCCTGTTTCAGCGTACCAAACATTTTCATCATTCAGATCCCAGAAAAACAAAATAGGAAAAAGAAAAAAAAAAAAAAGAAAAATATTTGCACAGAGCTAAAAGTATAGAGGTCAAGCGTCTTCATTATCAGTGCATAATCCTTCTGTGTTTTCCATAAGAAGAGAGAGGAGGGGGGGAATGACAATATTATTAACAAGACAAAATGGATGGAATTGTTATTTGGAAAGAAAAGAGGGGGTTGCAATAGACCTGAATGGAATTATTTTCGGATGTAAGTTTCTCACACTCCTCAGAAAGCCTCTGCAACTCATCTTTGAGCATGCGATTTTCATTGTTCAGTGCCTCTACCCGGGCTTGTAGCTCTTCACACTCTGCCTGTTGAGAATAAAGAAATGAACATCATTGTTAAACAATTGTGTTGTTCCAATATAACAGTAAAAAAATGAAGACATGGAGGAAACACTGTACTTAACAAATGTTCCCAAGCTTTTCCTTTTAAGGCTGTGTTTGGATCATGGATTTGGGTAGGAATTTGAAAAGGGAAAGGGAAAAAATGTGTGAAATGTAATCGTCACATTTCATCTACCTTCTATCTTTCTCTTTCCAAATTTCTACTCAAATCTATGATTCAAACACAACCTAAAAGAAACTTTAAGTAACTATTATTAACAGCAACAGCCAGCAGAAGCTCCTTGATAACAGAATTTGGCAGTGTAAGTGCTCGGTGGTATCTAAGTTTTGATACCCTTAACCCAACAATTCTTTCAGTACAAGCAATATTGGTGAATAGTCCCATGCCATTGTCCCCAATGTTTTGTGCATTGTGTTAGAACTTTTCTTTATTCCTCCAAATAATATTTTTTTTGGTCCTACGAACAGATGACCAGGTTAAAAAAGTTTCTATAAAAAAGGGCATCAAAAGGGGTCAGCACGCATGTACAAAAGGTTAAACTATACCTCATATCATCTCTAAAATGTACAACAGTGATATAGGTGGATGCAAGTCTCTTAAGCACAACTTTGTAACGATAAAAAAATGTATATATTCTTAAGTTCTGTAACAGGTTAAAAATACTACCTGAGACTAAAAGAAATCGCAGAGTAATGGGATCATCACATGATCACATTGTTAAATGTACCTTCACATAACATGAAAGGGACTTCCTTCCTAATAAAAAAATTAAGTTATTCAAGTTGCTAGGAATGCATGAAATGAAGTTTCTGAGTATGTACTAGTAAAGCATGAATTTGAGTAAATAACTAGGAGGTGTCCACCCTCTACTCAAAGAATCTGCCCCAGTAACTCTTGCTACTGCTTTGAAACGTTTTTCTTAACCCACAGAAATACCAAAAACAGGTCACACACTTGCACGCTCACAATCAAAGCCAGACACTTTTCCTCAATCCAGCACTCAATTGATGGAAGCCATCCCAACAAATTGGGATTGGGCAAACAAACCTGTTTCCTATTCTGCTAAGCAGGATATATCTTTGGGCAGATAAGAAACCTTAAGGTCTACCCCACTACTTATCATGCATCCTTTTGTAACTTTCACCTATCACCATATCACTCCTAGCAGTGCTGGCAATTGAAACAAAAACTAACAGACAGATTTCTATTTTGAAGGGATGGACTACCCTTGACCAATATATGGTTACATAAATGCAGACAACATGCAATTGACAGCAATAAACAAACCGGCCTTGGTTTCGCATGATGTAACATAGAGAACGGATTTAAATAAAGTAATTCACTTACAGGAAAACCATATGCTTCAATATATATCAAACATCTTTAGAAATTTTACAATGCTTAAAAACATGCACCTTTTGTGTCCTAAGTATGACTTACCATACTCATAATGCTGCCAGCCTCTATTGGTTTTGGCAAATGATTTGATTAATTTTTTTGACTCTTTTATAAGGGTTTTTCAGTTAGCAGCAAGACTTCCATTCTATTATATACTTCAGTGGTTCCCTGAGGAGATGTAGTTTATAACATGTAAAGAATTACATTTATGAACGATTCTATTTCTTCTATGTATAGCTTGCCCCCAAATGAGACCTAAATCATAACTACAATTCATATCAAAATGCAAAGCTTTAAGCATTCAGATGCAGGTCATAACATCCATCTTCCTGTTACAGTATGCTAAAAAATTAAAAAACTCAATAAAATACTGTGGTCTGTTTATTGTATTAAAAGAAGGTAAATGAGTTGATAGCTTAGAAAAAATTAGCAAAGCTTGTAAAAAATAGGAATGCATATTTAATATTTGGTGAAGAAACAGAAGAACCAACAACAAGCACACATATTTTATACCTGCTTGCGTAATCTTGACCTCCTAGCTGACTCCCTATTAGATTGCTTCCTCTTTTGTTTCTTTAATTCACGTTCATCCTGGCAATTCAGGGTTACAATCATGCAAGGCTTCATTTAAAGCTATATCCAGGAGTGTTAATATAGATTAAAATTTTGAAGCAAACACAAGTTGATGAGACCTAATCCACAAATTAAAATTTTGAACTTCTGCACAATACATACATGCATACACATAAAGAGAGAGAAATTGCTAACCTTAGAAAGCACATGGCATTTAATAAATATGACAATTATGTACAAACACTATTTGTTTAGTAGAGTTTTAAAAAATGATTTCTGTTACAGATACAAAAGACAGAAAACAAATTTTATTCTTAGCTTTATAATAGCATGCACGTGTTTTAAATCACTCTAGTGGGTAACTAATAAAAAATCATGATTTGTGAAACTTCAAAACAGCCAAAATAAAAAACAAATCAATACAAAACAAAAACAAGTAGTTGCAGGGCTACATTCTAAGGACGCACTGGCCTCAAGCATGTCATTCAAAAAATTCCCCCTTTCATTCACGTCTCACATAATTGCATAGATATTTCAGATTTTCAACCTCGTTAAAATGAAAATTATAGCGCTTATCACAAGTTACTCTGAGTGAAACTCCATAAGTTTTGCAAAGATGCGAGTCTTGCAAAGACCTCACAAAGGAAATAATTGGTTGATCAGATAAAACACCAAGTCAGCTTTAATTTTATCTAAGAATTTTCTTAGATATTAAAATAAAATTATTGCCCACCTTTAAATTTTTTATTTTTTTGTTGTGCACTTAATATTGAAAATAATTTTACTTAACATACAATGGGGGTGTTTGGGAAGAAAAAAAAATAGCCCAATTTAGGCTAAAATTCACAAAAAGACAAAATAGGCTAAAATAGCTAATAAGACAAAATATCACATCAAACCCATAATCATTTCACTTTTTCTCTCACAAACATCACATCCAACCACAAAAAAATCCAATCATCTTCCCAAACACAAAAATTTTAGCCTACTAAAATAGCCAAAAACTAAAATAGCCTACTAAAATAACAACTTCCCAAACGAAGCCCTTATGTTATCAGCCCAAGGGAAAATAATAAAAATTACTGTAACCGAAGAAACATATCTCAACTTATTCTAGGGCAAGAAGTCTGTATCCACTTAGAACAAGTCTCATGTTTATTAACCGATTGTCAAGCCAAAGGGAAATAAATACTCTCCGTATAATAACAAGTTTTCAGGACTCACCCTCTCCCTTTCAACCTTTTAGATATCTTGCTATTGTAGAAAAATGACATCAAGCTCCTCAACCATACATACCAATATTTACAGTGAGCAGCTTTTACCACTTGTATTTTCAATGAATAGTGGCCAGATCCTAAAATGGTGTCAATCCTTGTAGTAGGATATAATATTACCTCCACCTCCTGCCCCTCACTGCCCTCACCTCTCCTCTTCATTGAAACAAGAGAACATCCGATCATGTTGTGTCTGACAAAGGATATTAGATGACCAAAAGGTATCGCCTAAGCTGGGTGGGCTAGTGGTGTCCATTATCCAGGAAACACTGCTATGTTACATGGACTTTTTTAAATTTCTGAAGTATCCATGTCAGACACTTGACACTTGGGTAAGGAATGATATATGTGTCTGACATACCTAGTTGGAGATTCACCTAAGAGGTATGTGTATCAGTAGTCAAGTATGCCATATAACTATGCATAAAACTTCCATTTTTTTTATTATTATATAAAATGCTATATTTTACTTTGTAAACATCATTTCACCCTTAAAAAAAATAAAAGAAACATGAAATATAGTTGTGTTCTGGTGTCCTCAATTAGATGACTCTGACATTTAGACACATGGGCGCCCACACCAAAGTAAGATTGATTAGGGGGGAAAAAAAATCTTTGTTGAAAAACTTCAATAGAACATTGGATTATAAAAGTGCAAGTCTATCAAAAAAAAACTGCAAGGCTTCATACTGGAATCCATTGGTCGGTCAGTATGCCTTCGCGTCCAACCATTGTTGCTGGAGCAACAGTAGGTGATACACCAGGAGGATTAGGTCTCATTTTCACTGCTCCAGTACCAGCTGGGGATGCACTCCATAAGTCCATTCCAATGTTCAGATTAGTTGCAGGCACAGACACAATTGGATTCCCGGGCACTGGTGCTTGAAAATTTGGCCCACTAGTGTTATTCTGTGCATTGGCTGCTGAACAAGTTTACAAAAGTAAAAAAACACTACTAAATAGCACAAATGCAAAAGCAATTAGGTTAAGATGAGAAAACTACCATCTGCAAGCATCTGGTCAAAGCTTCCTCTCTTATTTGCAGCATACTCCTAAAATATCAAAGTTAATTTCTTTTAATGAGAAGAAAAGTAAACATTGTGCTGTTGACACACTTTTGACTGGATCAGGTTAACAAAAGACATTGACATTCTGCCACCTTTCAGAGGATCTGAGATCAGTACCAGTTTACTTAGATGAGTTGCAAGGGATTTAGCATGTTCCTTAGCAATGCAATAAAGTAAAAAAAGGACCATGTCCTTTTAGTAAATACATACTTGGTTATTCTCATCACTTACATCTGATGAACCTTCACTTCCACTTTCAGCACTGTTCATGACAATTTTACAATGAGAGAATAAAAAATGAAGAGAAACAAAATCATATCTAGAATGATAATTGATAACCAGAAATGAAATAACATCAAGTCACATAGAAAGAAATTTCTTAAGACTAAACATGAGTAAGACACCTTTTTGTGGCACCATCATTTCCTGAACCTGAAGTTGCCTTCCCACTTTCTCTGCCCTTGCCACCAATCACGCCAGTGTTTCCTGAAGTTCCCTTGTATTTTTTATATGAAGCCCTATCTTTCCCATCAGAGGCCTTCCCTTCCAACTCCACATTTGTATGTCCCATGCTTGGAGCCTGAGAAAGGATAAATCAAACGTCCAATTTGAAGGAATTTAAAAGCTAGAATATTAACCAGAGGTAAAATAAGAATAATTAATTTAATTGACTTATTATTTTTTATAAGCAAAGAAAGTAAACGAAAAATACCACCAGAACACAAAAATTGAGCTCTTCTATAAAATTTACAAGAGCAAAAAATGGATTCACAAAAAATTTATTTATATCAGAAAGGACAGCAATTGTAATAAACATATCTTTAGCATTTGCACCAGTAAATCAATATCCTCAAAAGTGCAATGATTTCTTTGTCTCTACAAGCACCAACTTAAAGTCTGAAACATCTTTATTCAACTAAGCAATTTATGTAGAAGACGCCTACTCTTAGAATGGAATATGAATAAAGCAGAAAATAATGACTAATGATGCAAAAGACAACTAGGATTACCGTGGCCATATTAGGATGAGCATAAACTCCTCCTGGGGGATATAGAGTTGGGTAGGGAATTGGTGTCCCATATGGTGGTATCAAAGCATGCTGAAAAATTATCAACAGCAACGCTCAACAGGTAGTCAAAGAGCAACAGTATTACCAAACACAGCAGAACTTTAAACATGATATTCCAAAAAGAAAAATAATATAGAGAGAGAATCACCTGGCCTCCCCATAGGTAAGGATGGGGAGTAGGAGAAGCAACAGTTGTGGCAAAAAATGGAGGAGGAGCACCACCACCATAATACGCCTATGCAATAAAATAAGACAGGTTATTAATAAAATCTTTCAAGGAACTCTCAAAACACATCTATCAATAAAAACATAACAATAAATCAAACCCAATATCTTTTCATCATAAAACCTGCATAGAGCTTGACCAATCAGGATATGAAGGCATTGTTGGGGTTTCCTGAGCTGAAGAATTTGGCTTGGAAGCCTTAGCAGGCGTGCTGTCTTCCCCAGCCCCCATTTCAACCAGTACAAATAATCCTTTCCCCTCACTTTTAACTGTTTGTCACACTACGTACCCTCAATTAATTTGAAGAAGCTCCTGAAAGTATAAAATCTAATTGCAATATATGTCAGAATTTCACACTTCTTTTCTTTAAACAAGTTTATCTGTCGCCACCAGAAACACAGAATCGTAAATTCAGAGAATAGTGCTTGTGTGTTGAGACAACATCCTTGAACTTAGTAATTTCAAGAGATACTACTTGTGTCTTTAAATATTAACTTTCTGATACCATTCACAGCTTTCGGTTTTAGTATAACTTGACCATAATATTCTTTTGAATGACAATAGTACCATCATGCTCCATTTTCATTCAGTAGTGTGTGAAATTTGAATGTTTGCAATAGCGTAGGCATTCCCTCTGACAATTTAGTCAGTTGAAATTGGAAATTACATCTCTCTGTGGGAACTTTATTCTGATAATACTTCAATTACATCCAAAAGAGCATTGCCAATAAACCTCCTAACTATACTGATCCTCTAGCTATTCTCTTACTTTACTTTAACATATTAAGTTGCTCCTGGTTGCAACATGTAATTTCAACACATATATGTTGAATGAAACCATTAAGAAAAATCATTGAATGGAAAAAATTAATCACTCTCTTCAAATTAGGCAGGAAAAATGGTGAGATCCTCTTTTTGAGTTGACCACAAAATTATTTTTTTACCTTTTGTATTGGAAAAATTATCCTGTTATGAGGTAGAATTGATGCCTTGCATTGAAAAATAAGAAAGTTTTTAAGGAGAGCCAAGATACAGGTAAAGACAACAATCTAATAATTGCCAAAAGCCTTATTTGAAATATTAAAAGCCAGTTTCTTACCAACTTCCTACAAATTTAGCACAATTTAGAAAAGCACGGCCAAGCGGGCTGGGGATTTCATTAATCAAGCCTAACAAGTTGAGTGAAAGCCCGGATGTTAGGTGACCCCATACCCTTGTACATATAACCAAAATAGAGCCTATTATGACCCAGCTTGTAACAATTCAAATGGTCTAATGGTTGGTTGGTGTCCAGTCCAAATTTGTATTGTAATGCTTCCGTCCGAACAATTATGATAGTATCCACTTTGCCAAGGCTCACAACTTTAAAATGCATCGTTACTAACAAGGGATGTAAGCTCAATTATATAGCTTGGGTTCTTGGGTCTTATTTTGGTTAGATTTTTAGTCATTTAGTGTTCAAAGTTAAACACTAGCCACCAAGTTTAACTTTTCATATATATGTGTGTGTGTGATGTAATAGTGTTATATATAAATTTGAATAGTTTGAGTTTGTATGAATTTGCTTGGACCTTGCGAGAGCACTTTTTCTCATTTTGCTGCTACACATAAAAATTGCTAAATAGTTGACCACCAATTCATCCAAAAGTTTAAGTTATTAGAGAGAGGGGTAACATTGTTATTTATATCACAACACGCCCCCCCCTCCTCACATGTGGCCAGGCTCTCCTTCAGAAGCGGGCCAAACAAGTGCAAGTATTTTAATTATCAAGCAGGAGGTAAGGTTTGAACCCGGGATTTATTGATTGCTCTAATACCAACGTGTGAAAGATTAGGGTTATGGTTAGAAGAGAAAGAGAGAAGAAAGGAAAGTCATATTTTATTGTCATATTCTATTCTAATATAAATATGTGCTAAGGTGGAGGGTTTGTTACAACCCAAAACCTATTGTTGTATTGTTATAATCTATTGTCGTAATATAAATATGAACTAAGGTGAAAGGTTTGTTACAAGCCAAGACCTGTTCATCTTATTCTCTTCTCCTCTTCGTTCCTCTCTCTTACTCTTCTAATCCTAAACGTAATCTCTTGCACAGAGTGATCTGATCTACCCAAGCAAGCACCAATGGAATCTGGAGATCAACACAAGGTGGCAACATCGTGCACACATCATCATTTGTATGATGATGCTAGTGTGACGTCAGTACCAGTGTGGACATCATGATCGGGCGAGTGAACACACAATCCGATTTGTCTTGTCGTTCTAGTAAATATGGTGATCTTTGTGAATTTTTTTTAAGTTGTTTGATGTGAGTTCCCAAATTTTGGGTGATTTTCAAATTTTTGGAATAGTATTTTTTGATCTGCAATTTGGAGCATTACCTAGTTTTGTCTTTGGTGGAACCTTTTCTATAGGTGGCAACTGGAGTGAAGGAAGCCTCATTTGAGGTCTTTGTTTGCTGATTTGTTGAGTTTACAAAGGTGTTTTTGGTCCTCCTTCTCTAGCTTCTACAGTCTTCGATCTTATTGGTATATCCTTATTATGTATCTCATCAACTGAATTGTGCTCACCAATGATTAGGTCTATGTGTGTTGGTGTCATTGAATAGTGGTGCGTTCAATGGCCATTTTAAGTGAAGGTTCAGCATGAATATAGTAATTTTTTTGTTGCCATTAATTTTGCCTTTTTAATTAGTGATGGTTGGTTATACTTATTAGTGCTAAAATCCCATGTTTTGGTGGTGGCAGCGGTGGTGGTGATTCTGTTTTATGATGTTCAATTTTGTTTGTTTTGAGCCCATAATTTCTAAAAAAATTTATGTTTGAAAACTAAGAAAAATTTTCTATTCTCAAAATTGATAAATTTCTCTATTATGAGGTATTTTCAATAATTGAATAGAATTTGATATCAATTTAATTTGAAATTAGATACTTAATTTTTGCAATTTGCACACAATTCTGCAGCTTTTATCCCTTAACTGAAAATTTCACTACTTTGAAAACAATGAAATTTCATTGTTTTTTCAGAATTTTGTGAAATTGTTTTTTCAGAATTTAACATTCATCATGTATCTTGTTTGAAAAATCTTGACAATATAATTTTATAAATACAATTTTTTATAGAAAATGGAGATGTATTTCAAAAGTTATTAGTAAATAATTCAATTGTAAAATCATTAAAAATTGAAAGCCGTTATATATTAAATGCTTCACTGTGGGGGCATTTTAGTTAGGGCTCCACAATATTAGAAAACTAAAACTAGGAAGCTTTTCTTTTGTGTCCTTATATTAGGGGTGTTCGCGATTTGGTTGCGGTTGAGAAACCTCTAATCCGCCATCCGTCTACCGAATTGGTGGATTGAAAAAAATCAATCCGCATCCGTCCGCCGAATTGACTGATGTGGATTGAGCGGATTGTCGAATTGATGCGAATCGGTTTGGAGGTTTAAACTTTTATAAATTTTGAACGTAATACTAAAGCTTGTAGAGCGTAACCAGCTTAGGGTTTGATAGGATATCATCCCCTATTTATATAAATGTAGATTAAAGTTTGTAAGAATTACAAGGGAGCCTTGAGGCATAGAATAATTATAAACTCATATGTTAACACTCAGATAATCATATAATATGCTAATACTCCCCCTCAAGCTGATTCGAAGATATCTCTTATGCCCAGCTTGCCTAATATGTCATGAAATGGTTTATTTCCAACCCCCTTGATGAGAATGTCAGCAAGTTGTTCACCAGACTGGACAAAAGGAGTACAAATGGTACCACTAGTGAGTTTCTCCTTAATGAAGTGGCGATCAATCTCAACATGTTTTGTCCTGTCATGTTGAACTGAATTGTGAGCGATGTTGATGGCGGCCTTATTATCACAGTATAACTGCATGGAGTCCGTTTGATCAATACCTAGATCACTTAACAATAACTTGCTCTATAAAAGTTCATACACCCCGTGTGCCATAGCTCTAAACTTAGCTTTTGCACTTGACTAGGCAACCACATTCTGTTTCTTACTTCTCCAAGTAACTAGGTTGCCTCCAAGAAAGGTGCAATACCCTGAAGTTGATCTCCTATCAATTACTGATCCAGCTCAGTCAGCATCTGTATAGGCTTCTACACAAAGATGATCATACTTTGAAAAATAAAGACCCTTACCAAGAGCAGACTTCAAGTACCTCAAGATTCTCATGACAGCCTCAAAGTGAATCTGATGAGGAGCATGCACAAACTGACTAACCACACTAACAGCAACAGCAATATCAGGACGGGAGTGAGATAGGTAAATGAGCTTACCCACTAATCGCTGATAGCTCCTCCTATCAACAGCTTCTCCGCCGTCATCATCCCCCAATTTCTGATTGGGTTCCAATGGAATGTAACATGCTTTGCAGCCAAGCATCCCAATTTCCTTCAACAGGTCAAGTACATATTTTCTCTGTGAGATAAATATCCCATCCTTGGAGCGAGCAACTTCGATTCCCAAAAAATACTTCAAGCTTCCCAAGTCTTTGATTTCAAACTTACTAGCTAAATATTTCTTCAACAGAGGTATTTTCCCACTATCATTGCCGTAAGAACTATGTCATCTACATAAACAATAAGTGCTGCAGTCTTACCACGTGAGGAATGTTTCATAAACAAGGTGTGATCTGCCTAACTCTGTTTGAAGCCATATAAGCATAACCTGAGTGAATCTCTCAAACCAAGCCATTGGAGACTGTTTAAGACCATATAATGACTTCTGAAGCTTGCATACTTTGCCTTTTGTCTGATGATCCTCAAAACCAGGAGGAATGTCCATATATACCTCTTCTTCGAGGTCACCATGGAGAAAGGCATTCTTGACATCAAACTGATAAAGCGGCCAATCTAGATTAGCTGCTAGAGAGAGAAGTACTCTGACTGAATTCATCTTAGCCACGGGTGCGAAGGTCTCCTGATAATCAATGCCATATGTCTGAGTGAACCCTTTTGCCACAAGTCTTGCCTTGTAACGCTCAATAGAACCATCTGCTTTGTGTTTCACAGTATACACCCATTTACATCCCACAGGTCGTTTGCCAGTAGGTAACTCAGTCAACTCCCAGGTGTCATTCTTCCTAAGTGCTTTCATTTCCTCAATCATGGCTAGTTTCCACTCAGAGGTAGCAAAAGCATCCTAAAAATAGTTAGGAATAATAACAGAGGAAATATTTGACACAAACGCTCTATATGAGGATGACAAATGAGAGTAGGACACAAAATGTGAGATAGGATGTTGAGTACAAGATCTCACACCCTTCCTCTTGGCAATAGGAACATCAAGATCAATGGACTCAAGAGATTCAAAGTTACCTAGACTCTCATCAGAAGCAAGAGATGGCAGTGGAGGAGCAGAAGTGGTCCCTTGTATCCAGTTAACTTTCTGTCTGTCTATGTCCCGGACATAAACGTGCCCTTCCCTATCCTTGGTGACATTGGGTTCTATAGTCCCAGTAGAAGAGGGTGGTGCAAGAACAACTGGTTCCACCATAGGAATCACAGGATTCACTTCACACCAACGCTCCCCGGAAATGAGGACTGGGACACCGGAGAGGACAAGAAATAGGACTGGGACTCAAAGAAAGTAATATCCATGGACACAAACCACTTACGAGAAGGAGGGTAGTAACACTTATACCCGTTTTAAGTAGGAGAGTAACCAAGGAACACACATTTGAGGGAGCGAGGGTCCAATTTACCACTAGTAAGAGAGTGATTATGAACAAAACAGACACAACCAAATATTTTGGGAGGAATAGAAAACAAGGACTGGGAACTTAGAAGGACGTGAAGAGGAGCTTGTTTTTGCAAGACCTGGGTAGGAAGACGATTAATAAGATGTGCAGCGGTGAGAACAGCGTCGCCCCAATAGGGCCGAGGCACACTCGTAGAAAAACACATGCACCGAGCCATGTCAAGAAGATGCCGATTCTTGCGTTCCGCCCTTAGTTGCACGAAGCGGGAGCGGGAGCGGGTGCGGGTGCGGGTGCGGGTGCGGGTGCAGGGAAGCGTGGCCATGTAAAGGAGTCGTAATTTGGGAGCGCTTATATATTATTTTTATTGAAATATTTTTAATTTATCTATATAAACATTTAAAAAATAATAATTTAATTAACATATATATGTTAGAAAATCTTATTTTTATGTAATATTTAATTAATTAAATATAACATAAAAAATATTTTAAAAAATGAATAACAAATAAAAGTAGTGAAGTGATATTTTTTAGAACACTAGTCATTATCTTTGAATAAAATTTATTATATTTTATTTAATAAAACAACATTTATGTTTTATTTAAATATATTTTTTTATTTTTTATCTTATATATTATTTTTATTGATAATATTTTTAATTTATTTATATATATTTTATTTTTAATTAACATATATATTATAAGTAAATATGATTTATAAATAGTTATTTTTATTGATATATGATATATATATACATATATTATAATTGACATATATATTAATTAAATATCTTTTGAGAGAGAGAAAGAGAGAACAAATTATAAATCAGAGAGAAGAGAAGAGAAAAGAAAAGAAAACCGAGAGAAGAGAAGAAAAGAGAGATAAATATGCCTATTTATTTATTTTTATATTTTTTATATAATATAATATGCCTGTTTTTTAATGGGCTTTGATTGTATTATAATTAGCATTATATTTATAAAGGTAAAATAAATAAATAGAAAATATATTAGAATAATTATAAATACATTTAATATTTATATTATAATCAAGAAAGAGAGAAGAGAGACTCAGCAGAATCAAAAAAAAAAAATTAAAAAAAAACAAAAGAAAGAGAGAAGAGAGTCTCAAACAGAGGCGAGAGAGGAGAGAGAGAGAAGGGGAAGAGGCGATCGAGAGAGAAGAAAAGTAGATCGAGAGAGGAGACGAGATCGATCGATCTAGAGAAGACGAGTCATGAGATGACGAGTCATGAGATCGAGAGAAGAGGGACAAACAGATCGAGAGGAAGAGAAGAAGACAAATCCGCGACCAGATTCGCGTTTCTCTAGCATCAAACTCGCGATTCTTCTACGAATCTGAGTCAGAAGCGTAGAATCGCGCTCTTGAGGAAGAATCGTGAGCAAGTTGAACAATTCCTGCTACTAAGGTTCCGCCACCCTATTTTGTTAAGGGATATTGGTTCAAGAGGTTTGATGGATAATGCCATAAGTAGAAAAATATTGTTCTAACCCAGAATCTATGTATTTCCCGCCATTATCAGAATGAAATAGTTTGACAATGGCCCCAAACTGAGTACCAATCATCTTATGAAAGTTGCGAAACACAGAGAAAACCTCACTCTTATCTTTCATGAGATACACCCAAATAGTATGAGAAAAATCATCAATAAATGTAACAAACCATCGATGACCTTTCACAGACATAGCACGAGAGAGACCCCAAACATCAGAATGTATTAATGAAAAAGGAACTAAACTTTTATTAAAACTAGGAGCAAAAGAAGCTCGGTGTTGTTTTCCAAGTTGACAAGACTCACAAAGAAATTCAGACACATGATGATTTGCAAAACCAGATGGAAATAAATGCTTAAGTAAATTAAAAGGAAGGATGCCCAAGACGCCGATGCCACAGCCATAACTCAACGGGGGTAGTAGAAGACGTGGTGGAAGAATAAGCAAGCTTGTTCGATTGATCCAGGAAGTAGAGACCATTTTCTGTACTACCACTGCCAATCGTCCTCCTTGTGACAAGGTCCTGAAAAAGACAATGATCAAGAAAAAACGTCACATTACAATTCAAGTCCTGGGTAAGACAACTCAAGGATAACAGATTAACAGAAAAATTAGGAACATGGAGAACAGAAGATAGAGGTATGGTAGGAGTGACTTGGACTAAACCTATTCCAGAAATGGAAGAAACAGTACCATGTGCAACCCTAACTTTGTCCTGACCTGAAGAGGGCTTGTAAGCAGAGAAAAGATCAGAGAAGCCAGACATATGATCTGAGGCACCGGAATCAATAATCCAAGGCAAAGACTTATGACACAGGAAAACACAAGGAGAAGATGCTAAGTTACCTAAGCGGGCAAAGGACGAGGAAGATGTACTGAGAGCAGTAGAAGACCGGCGATCCAACAATTGGCGCAGAGCATCCTCAAGCTCAGCATCAGAAGCTTGGCTCGCAGAAGCAGAATTAGAATCAAGTGTGTCAACGGCACTAGACTGATGAGCCCGGGAATAGGAGCCACGTCCTCTAGACTGGCCTGACCGACCTCCACTAGAACCAGACCGATCACCGCGACCCCCGAATGAAGTCCCGTGAAGCTTCTAACACGTCTCACGAGTATGTCGCGGCTTCTTACAATAATCACAGAATACAGACTCCTTAGCAGTAGACGGAGGGATGAGAGTCAGGCTGAGGCTATCTCGAAGAGTAGACAGTAATACTGAGCAATCAGTAGAGACAGGGGACATCATAGCAGACCGACTCTCCTCATTCTGTACATAGGCAAATGCCTCCTCAAGTGAAGGAAGAGTGTCCATACACAGAACTCGATCCCTAACTGGATCATACTCCACATTTAGGCCTGCCAGAAATTTAAAGACCCATTCCTGTGGGATGAACTTCTTGTACCCGACAAAATCAGTAGGGCAAACAGGCTTATAGTCTTGCAGGTGATCAAGGCGTTTCTAGCCGTTGGTGAGAAAGGTGAAATACTGCAGAACAGTCTGCTCCCCCTGAAGAGAGCTCTCAATAGAGCGACGCAACTCAAAAACCTGTGAGAAATACCCTTTGCGGGAATAGGTGGCAGTCACAGCATCCCAAACATCCTGGGCAGTCTCCACAGACAAGCAGCCCTCACCAATTTCTAGAACCATCGAATGAATAAGCGAACCCATAATCAAAGAGTTAGTAATCTCCCATTGGTCATAACCCGGGTCAGTGGTGTCGGGTGTCTGTATCCTGCCATCAACATACCCCATCTTCCCTCTGCTCTTAAAAAATATAGTCAAACTCTGAGACCATACTAGATAGTTCTGACCATTAAATAGAGAGGTGGTGATTTTCAAACTAGGGTTGGGGTTATTAGGCATGGTAGTAGGTATAATGGGACTCTCACTCCTAGGTGTTTGAGAGGTAGGAGACACACTGGTGGAATCTGCCATGGATACTATACTACCGAACCCGCAACAAATCTATTGGCAATCACAAACCCGGAAGATGGTGGTGAAAGAACAGACACAATGACCACTATAAAGGCATAACAAAATTAAGAAAACATTTTTTTATTATTTTTTATTTTTTTGAGTTTTGAGAACCTGTGTGGAAGATCAAAAACCTATATACGACATATCAAGGTAAGATCAAACAGAGGGTATACCAGAGGCGATCGATCGATCGACAGAGGAGATCGACTGAGAGACGAAGGCGACAGAGGAAGGTGACTGAGTGACGATCGACTGAGAGACGAAGGCGGCAGAGGAAGGCGACTGAGTGACGAAGGCGACTGAGTGATGAAGACGACAGAGGAGATCGGTCGACTGAAGATTGACGAAGGATGAATTGAAGATGAGCAGAGGAGATCGACTGAGTGACGAAGCAGAGATCGACGAAGTGGAGATTGACGCAGCAGATGACCAATCCAGGTAAGTTTCAAACCCTAGATTGTCGTTGGTGCAAAGGTCGACCAACAAGGGTGAGTCAAAACCCTAGAAGTTCTGCTCTGATACCATGAAGCTTGTAGAGCGTAACCAGCTTAGGGTTGGATAGGATATCATCCCCTATTTATATAAATGTAGATTAAAGTTTGTAAGAATTACAAGGGAGCCCTGAGGCATAGAATAATTACAAACTCATATGTTAATACACAGATAATCATATAATATGCTAACAAATACAACTTCTTATTAACATTTTTTTTGAATAATAATCCAACTCAACATAACCAAAAGATTATCAAGTAAATTATCAAATACCAATAATAATTATATATAAGAAAATCATTCATTGTCAAAATTATTTCATTATTTTTTTTATATTCAAAAATTATTTAATTTGATTTTTTAAAAAAAAAAAAACAAAAAAATTAAGCCTTATATTTTTTACACAAAATACCAAATATTAACACTTACCATTTGATAAAAGGATTTTCAAATTGAAAATAAATTGAAAACACAATACAATAGTTAAACTTTTTTTCAATTGAAAACATAAACAGAATATCTAAATAAATTGAAAATGCAAAATCTTACAAATTACTAGAGGTGCTTGTGGTTTGGTGGATCGGTTGCTGCTAAAGAAACTTCAAATTCGTCATCCATCCCAAACTAGACAGATTGAAAAAAATCAATCTGCAACCGTCCGCTCGTCATCACGCTTCCGTCCAACATGCGATGGATCAGATTGGTTCGATCGGTTTAGACAGATCGAAATATCCGCTGCACACCCTACCTTATACTAATAAAGCCTTATAATGACAGAATTTTTGAGCATATATATACATATAAAATTATATATTACATTAAATAAAGAGAATCTTACGATTAATGATTTGATATCATTCCAATTCACTATTTTAGCAAAATAATTCACTTTGATACTCGATTTGACAACAATGGCAAGGATATCAGATGTTCTGTCCAATTAAGAATAGTCACATAGTTCATTAGGTATAGATCCAGCATAATAAGATCAATCGCGGCAGGACATTATCCATCATACAATTACACGACAATTGCAAATTCCAACTAAATTGACGAAATTTGAAGGCACAATAAGATCAATCGCAGCGTATAAAATTAAAAACCACTGATCCCCAAAAGCAGCAATGATTTGAAATGGAACTCCAGCATATGCAGAACATTATCTATCATACAGTTAACATGACAATTGCAAATTCGAACAAAATTGACGAAATTTCAAGGCACAATTAGTTCAGTCACCGCGTTGCTGAACCAAACTCTTAGTTCGGTCACCGCGTTGCCAAACCAAAAGTGGGTAAAAGTAGTTAAAATATAGATATATTTTATTCACATTTCACCTACTTTTTTCCTTTGGCTCTCTAAATTCCCTTCCTAAATTTCCAAACCAAACATAGCCTTAATGAATTTTGAGTTCTTTCTCTGTTCCCCTTTCTGGAGTAAAAAGCAAATTTTTTTTTTTCTCTTTCAGTAAATAAATCAAACTATTCGGGTTCAGTTAAACAAGTTCTTAATCCACACACAATAAACTTTTTATTTTTATTTTTAAAATCAATTCATGATCCAAGTATTGAAATTTTGGTATTGAAATTTGATTACAAATTCCAAACAAAAAACAGAATAAGTTTCAGCCTAATTAATCGCAACAATTGAAACACTGCTGAGCGAATCGATTAACCAGAACTTAATTAGTATCATTCTCAAAATCCTATTATATATATATATGCATGTGTAAATATATATAGAGAGAGAGAGAGGGGGGGGGACAAAACATAGAGGAGAGAGAAACTGACCTGGAGGAACGTGGAAGTCCAAGTCGGACGAACACAGGTTTAGTCGTCTCCTCTTTTTGCTCGTATGTCGTGTGTGATAATAGATCTGACACAGATAGAGAGAGAGAGAGAGCGAGAGTTATGATTAGTTAAACGTACCAAAATTAGGTGAGGCACAAGAATCACCACAAGCAACAGCACTCTCTATATCAGCAACGACTTTTAGAGAGAGAGAGAGAGCTCCGCCGCATGCGGCGATGCTGTGGTGGTGATAGGGGTGGGGGTGGCGGCGAGTGAGTTGTGGTGGTGAGTGTGTGAGAGAGAGGGGGGGTTTGGGGAAGGTGACACGTGAGGAGAAAGAGGTATCCAGATGGTGAGGTGTGAGTGGGTGGGTGTGACTCAGCGCAAAAGGGTTTTAATAAGGAAAAGACGATGAGGATGATGAGGAGGATGGATGATGAGTCAGTTGAGTGAATGGATAATTTTAATTAATTACATTACACCAAGTGGGAACCCCCGCCGCAAGAAGCCGTTGAATAATTTTTATTTTTTATTTATTTATTTTTGAAATACAAAAATGATCCGGACTCCTTTTTTTTCCACCCCATGATCCCCTCTTGGATTGATTGGTCAGATTTTTTTTTTTTTCTCCTCCAATCACCAACCCCGCATGTGTGTGTGGGATGATAGGGGTTGGTGATTGAGAGAGTCTCAATCACATCTCTTTGGGGAACCCCCGCCGCAAGAAGCCGTTGAATAATTTTTATTTTTTATTTATTTATTTTTGAAATACAAAAATGATCCAGACTCCTTTTTTTTCCACCCCATGATCCCCTCTTGAATTGATTGGCCAGATTTTTTTTTTTTCTCCTCCAATCACCAACCCCACATGTGTCTGTGGGATGGTGGGGTTGGTGATTGAGAGAGTCTCAATCACATCTCTTTGAAATAATACTAAAAACTGAATTTTTTTTTGTTTTTATTTTTGTTTATTTGTTTATTATTAAGCATTTTTACTTTTTAATTATTTTAATAAATAAGCTTCACCCCTATACTTAGGGGTGTGCGTGGTGCGGGTCGGTGTGGTTTGCGAGAAAAATAAAAACTGCATGACGGGTGGCGGATTGATAAAAGTGTCACTAGAATTTGCCATTTTTCTTATCAAAAATCGGCGGTTCGGTTGGCAAATAATGACGGATTTGCCTTGGCGGTTCGGGCGGATTGGCGGTTTATAAAAAATATAATTCAAATTACAAAACTTAAATAAAAGAGTAAAAAAAAGACGAGAGATACCGTGATGTTAAGCATCTTGCGAAACTTTATTCTGATGCAGCAAGTGTAGCAACAACATGATAATATCAACGACTATGTCATCAATTCATTACAAACATCTGTGGAAAGCTACAATGATCAAATACAATACATAAAATTAATATCATTCAGGGTTTACAATATATTGAAAATATTTACTGTTGAAAAGTATTTAGATTGAAAAGTGAGCTGATCAGAAAAAAAAAAAGATTTAAAAGTGAATTAGAATCCAACTTTATTTTGGATTACTGACATCTTGAATTCCCCTCGAGCAGTAATGTAATACTATATTCTAAGGTATAGAACAACAAGCAAACTTAAGTAAAAAAGAATTTTTAGTATCTTATAAAACATGATTTAATAGCGGTGCGGGTCGGAGCGGTTTGGAAGAAAAATAGAAGCCGGCGGATTGATAAAAGTGTCACTAGAATTTGTCATTTTTCTTATCAAAAACCAGCAGTTCGATTTGCAAATAATAACAAATTTGCCTTGGCGATGCGGTTCGGTGCGATTTTGGCGGTTTCGACGGTTTCGGCGGTATTATGCACACCTCTACCTATACCTATACCAAAGTGGGGCAAGCTTGGTGCTTGACCCAATAACCAAGCACCTACCCCGAAGCAGAATAAGTTATGAAGCTCAGGTCAACATGCAAGGCCTGCTCTGAATCGAACTGAGCAATAAGGTGAACCTTCAAATTAGACAATTACTCCGAAGTGGACTGAGTTAGGAAAGGCCAAATCAACATAGATATTTGAGCCCACAAGAGACAAACAACTATGTTTTTCTCTCTGTCTAATCAGAACATGTAGACACAAAAATGCAGAGGAACAATGTGCACTTAATAGACCTGCGCACTAGAGTGTCACGCATAGTGGCCGTTCTCCTCCAATGAGAGACGATTACGAATAAGACAAACAAGATAGATGGCGGAAAGAGAAGATCTTGGAAGAAAAATAACTTTCTCCTATAAAATGTGAGCACTATTTACTTTAAAAGGATCCGAAATTTATTCACTCAATACATACACTCTCTTTGCATCATCTTTTCTTCTTCTCCCCCTAGTCCCTAACTTTACTATTGAAGGGATTTCCGACCAAACTCCGATCGAGTAGTCTCACCGTTTGTTATCTGTGCAAACTTTGTTTCCCAGAGTATGCTATTCTTTCACGAAGTTCTACCCTTCTTCATAGTACGGAAATTACTCTTATACAGACAAAAATTAAGCTTTTGAATAGATAACATATCCTTTTGGACAAATAATGTCCTTTTAACTTAAAAAGATTTAAACTTTGATTTATTTGCCTCATAGTTTAAAAATGGACCTACAATTGAGCGCCTTTTACCACTGGGGGTGGTGGCCTAGTGGAGAAAGCATCATTCTCACAGGCGTGACTCAGGTTTGATTTCTAGGGAGAGCGAAATGCTGAGTAATTCCAATGATTCTCTGCCAAGACCTCGCTCTGTACTCCGATCAAATCCTAGGCTCATTTATGGCGTATGGTTGAGCTCTACTAGGGCCTCGATGGTGGGTCCCTTCCTATGAGTTGGGTTAAATCAGGCTGGCAATTACTTACCCTAGGGTCTGGACCCACGAATACAGTGATAACACCTCAAAGTATCCTTTCTTTAAGCTCAAAAAAATAAAAAATAAAAAATAAAGCGCCTTTTTTTATTTTCCAGTTATTAAATTTTCGCCAATAAATTTCCACCAAATATGGCCGTACTAGTGTCATTGGTTTGTAATTTTGCACGTTCCATTAATTTTAGGGGCAATCACGACTTTTTATTTTTATTTTTTTAAGTAGAGTATATTATACTTTATATCTTGGGGTACTTACGTGTAGGTCCTAATAAGTAGACTTATTGTTTAATAGGTCCGATGAGAAAAAATTGTTATAAAAAAATATCACTAATTGTAAATTTTAGCGACAATTTATAAAAATCATGACAAAAAAGTCTCTAATTGTTAATTTTTAGCGACGTATGTAAAAAAATTACCACAAAAAAATTATTTTTAACTACAATTTTACCAAGACTTATTTTCAATAGGACTTGATGTGAATTAAATCCAATTATTAGGACCTATTGGTAGTTTACCCTTATATCTTTATATTTTGTATCAAATTTCACTTTAATCCATATACATAAAATTATAACAGTTAATCCTTTACACTTTTGGTCAAATCCCATTTTGATCCACATACATAAAATCGTGACAGTCAACCCACTGCAGTTCTGGTCAGGTGTCAATTTTTCCCGTTACTCCATTATTTAAGTTTTTAAAAGAATCCAGTCATGTAACAAACATGTGACTACGAAATGAGGGTAAGAAAGAAAAATCATTCTCATTCCCATCAATATGTACTTTGTCTCATGAGATGAGCATGTGCTAGTTATATAATACAATATATAGGTATGTGTGTATTCATATACTGAAAATTAGGACGAAAATGTAAGAAATAGAACTTTTGAAATTAAAAAAAAAAAACGCATTAGAGAAATCAAAAACTCTGTTACTGTGAAAAACAAAGGTTGATTATTATAATTTTTGTAAAATCCTAGTTTATCTTCTTAATCGTTCACAATTTGTGTTTTATTTTAGTTGAATACAATCAAAATTTGATACAATTTTTAGAACGAAATGTGTATAGATGAAAAATTTTACATAATTTTTTTCTTTTACTCTTATTTTATAGTCATATACTTGTCACATTACTGACTTCTGTTAAAAACTTATATAATAGAATAATAAAAAAGAGATATTGACACTTGACTAGAAGTGCAGGGAGTTAATTGTCATGATTTCATAAGTGCATAGAGTTAAGTATCACAATTTCATCTGTAAGGATTAAAGTGGGATTTGACCAAAAGTATAAGGGATTAACTATCACGATTTCATGTGTATGGACCAAAGTAAGATTTAAGCCCATTTTGAGAAGTGAATTAAAAGTTATTTCTCAACTTTTAACCTACTTTCCTCTTTCACAAAAAAGTCAAAAAAAGCCAAAAAGTAACTTTTATGCAAAGTATAATTTATCCTTGTAAGTATTTACATGTTGGCCTTTGTATAAAATTGTTAAAGAGCAATATTATAGAAACTTAAAAATTATATATACAATTTACTTTGTCAAATTTACATCAATTTATATCAAATAAAAACTCATACCGTCACTTATTATTTATTATTTTAAAACTATCATCAACATATCATTCTAATTTTTTATCCAAAAAAAATTGTATACCATCTCAACTGAGGACACTATAGATCGAACAAGGAAAGGTCCAAAAATGCTAAAGGCCTTAAACATTTTATCAAAAATTTTACCAAATCACTCACATAAGTGTTGATTGTACACCCATATGAATGTATGGTAAAAATTTTAATAAAATATTTGGAATTCCTAACATCACTCTTCTACTTATCATAACTAGGTTGAAAAAATAAAAGAAAATTTATAGTTGAACAAAGAAGGAATTGTATACAACTATAATCATTAGCAAAAATAATTTTAAATATTATTTTAAATTCAATCTTAAAATTTATATTTTAATTACCGTATCTAAATATTAATTGTGCAATCGAGCTTTATCTAGGGTGTGGGTTGAGCATCTCATGTTAAGGCCATGTTTGATTGGGATTTTGGGAGGATGGATTGGATTATCAATCTGTGGGACTCACCAAACCCTTATTTGGATGCAACAAAATGTCATAGGATTAGTAATGAAGGGAGCTTAGTAATCCCTCTCTGTAGGGAGATTAACTTGGGTGAATTTTATGTGAGATTAGGAAAATAGTAAGGAGATTGAATCTATTTTATATAAACAAATTTATTTATTTTATTTTATTATTTTTACCAAGTGCACCTATTTGTTTTAGTTTTTTTTAATATAGAAATAATTTATTTATTTATTTTATATAAAAATGATTTAACAATCCTATCACTAATCATATCCTGTACTATCATTAAAATAAACATACTTTTACGTAATCCCCTCACTAACAATCTACACATTAACAATCTCTTTACTAACAATCCTCTCATTAATAATTTCATCCAATCTAATCCGTCAAACAAACATAACCTAAGAGATAAAGTAGGGATAAGTTACTAGTTATTTGAACAGATTATCAAATCTGCTAAACTTACTCGAATGCACATGAGTTTGACCCCCTTTCACTACAAGAAAAATGGGCTACTGCAACGTTTTTTTATTTTATTTTTTTATTTTTTATGGCGTTTAGGGAAACACCACTATAAATTAATGAAACACAATGTTTTTGAAAAATGTTGTGCCTGATCTTAGTGAAACGGCGCCGTATTGGGTCAATGTATTGACCGTTAAAACCTCCGTCTCTTTGAACTCAGTCTCTCTTTCTCAGTCTCTACCACAACTTAGTCTCCCTCTCTTCCAAAACCCTCGATTTGAAGCCCTTATTCTTAACCCTCGATTTGAAGCTCTCACTCTCTCTTTCTCAATTTCAAACACACACACTCTCGCTCGTTCGTTCAATTTCTCATTCTCAACCCTCGATTTGCTCGATTGCAGATCCAAAACCCTCGATGGTTTGCGCTTCATCGATCTCTTTTGCTCGCAATCGATTTCTCTAGTTATTCTTTTTCGATCTCTGTCGCTCGAGGGCTTTGCTCTAGCTGTTCTTCATCGAACTCGAACTCGATTTGTTCTTCATCAAATCGCAGATCCAAAATCCAAAATCGATCTATGCTAGCTGATCTCTCTTGCTCTTATATCAGGTACATTTTTCATTCTCTACTTTCTCATTGTCAAATTTGCTGATTAACTCTGTTCTTCATCAAATCAATCTGTTCTTCATCAAAATCGATCTGTTTTTCATCAAATCGCATATCCAAAATCCAAAATCGATCTGTTCTAGCTGATCTCTATTGCTCTTATATCAGGTACATCTTTTATTCTCTACTTTCTCATTGTCAAATTGCTGATTAACTCTATAATTTTTTCATTCTTTAGTTAAAAAAAAAAAAAAACTAGTTTATATAATTTGTGATGATCTTCATGTTCTAGTTCTTTAGATTATTTATGATTTTAGCATTGTATACAATTTCGTTCTTCTAACCAGGCTGGCACTGAACTTTTTTATTGTTTTTTTTTTGGGTCATGTTGTTTGATGTTTTGGAAGGCACACAAATTGAAGTTTTGTACTTGTTTATGGTCTCTAATTGGCTTTTGTATATCACTTGTTTGACAAACTATGTTGTTTTGATAGCCTGGAAATACACTAGTAAACTATGGTGTGGTTAAATTGTTGGCAATTTGTTGTCTGTTTTTAGATTTTAATATTTCCAAGATCATTGTTGTAATGTGTATGATGAACACAAAATAAATAGTCATTAACGGCTAGATAAGAAGAAGTTTAATGATCTAGCTAAATTATAAGGTTGTTTATGGAGATAACCCCTTTGCGATGTCCACTAATTGGACACTTAAAAGATAGGCAACAAGATTTAGACATGGACACTTGAGAAATTAGCTTGACTGAGGTATAAAACTAGCACAAATGATTCAGGCACAACTTCATAACAATGTTTAAGCCACAAAGACCATTTATTATGAGCAGTTTTTAGAACTGGCCACATATCTTCCCATGAATGGCTAGTTTTTACACAAAAATCAAAATAAATAGATGATCTTGGACATGCTGGGTAGAAGTCTCCCTAAGTATCAAAACCTCCTTTGTTCTTTACCCTCTCCTACTCCCCATCAACTAATTAAATACAGAAGAAATACAAAGGGAAGGGTTCCTTGATCAGGCTTGACTATTCCTCTCCCTTTTCACATTTGAAAACCATTTTTCACCAATTTAATAGAGATGTTTGATGAATTGGTGGCTGTTTCACTTAGATAGGATTTCTCTTGGTGTTTAAGGGGTGATTCTAATATCATTTTCTTTCCTTTAGGGAGGTTGCTTGATGTGCATATCTCCAAATCTATGATAATTTTTTCCATCTTGATTGATGACTTGGGTTTGATGGACCTTCTTTTGATGGGAGGACCTTTTATTACCTAATCTAATAATCAAGAGGCTTCCTCCATGTCTGGCATAAACAATTTCTTGGTGTCTTCATAGTGGGAAAAGTATTTTTGCTTAAGTGATTCAATTTTTAGGCATTAGTGAGGATAGTTGTTCCTAAAGATTTTCCAAGCATGTCAATTTGTCTATTATCTTGTTATGATTTACTGTATTATTGTATGGATGTCATTATATGATTAATTGATTTATTAGAATTGACTAATTAAATAGATTAATCCACTTGGTAAATTTTAATTGCTAATTTGTTTAAGAGTTTGGCCTATTCTCAAAATCAAAGTGTCATCTTTTATTTGTTGGGTTAATTTATAGGAAACACACAACAGATATTCATAATTTTTTCGACTAATGCAACACTCAGATACCAATTTTGAAGTTGATTGTAGTAAGAAAAATAGGACACCTCTACAGTCATGTAATGTGCTATCAACTACAATCATGGATTTTTTACTTTGTGATCAATCAGGATAATCTGGTTGTTCTTGTAGAATCTTCATTAGAGATACCAGTCATCTTGATGAAATTCTATATCATAATCTATCAAGAGCATTGTAGAAACTTTTAGTTTCTTCATTAATATGCTTCATGCTAAAAATACTTCTAGTATGCTTGATAGTGATGATTTAGGTTGCACCACCGGATGCAAAAATCATGACAACTGAAAAATTGACAAAAGTAGTTGCACTCTTTTAGGGAGATTGAATTTTTTCTTCTTTGAATTCCTTTTTGGCATCTTAATTAACCTTGCAACTATAGTTGCACTAAATCTGTTAATTGACAACTGAAATTATTCTGTTAAAATTCCCTTTTGGTTTCGTAACTAACATTGCAGTTGTAGTTGTAATGGATCAGTCAAGTGACAAGAATTTTTTTGTACATAGTTTTTGTTTCCCTAAGATTTAATAGGTGATTCTTTGCCTTTTCTTTTTACAGGCTAGTTCAGTTATGCATCTATTTACGGGGAGTTACCAGAGTTCGACTTGAAGGTGGGAAAGCAGACTCTGCCAGCCCCATTTGTAGCATCAGAAAAGCCATGGGAGACCATATTTAGTGGATCATCTCACCGCTACTGTAGAGTGATCACTGCAAATAGATGATGCATATCTACATTTTCTTGTTATATTTCCGATCAAAATTCAGTGATGTCTTCTAAAGTTATTCAAGCTATTGAAGAGTCTACAAGTTTCAAAGTGTCTTCAAAACTATTGAAGGCAGGTTTGAATTGGCTGGAAGGGGGAAAAAAAATCAATTTAAAATGTTTGAGGAGATGAAGCTCTATGCTCTACTATAGCTACTTATGAATTTGATACAACCAAATCTATGGAGGATCTGTTGGAGTTGGTGGACCTCTCACCTTTCTACTGGAGTTTTGAAATTGTCAGTTTTGCTAACTCACCAAATTCAAATCTTGTTGCTTTCAAAATATGTTATATTCCAACATCGCCTTCTACAGTCAAAACCTTTTCCAAAAGGACATTTTCAGTGCAATCGGGTAGATTCTCGATGCCAAGACAGTGAATACCTTAGCTATGCCTTACAATCACAGGACTCATAAGGAGAACCGAATTGGGTTCGTTGTCATGTACTCGCTAACCTTCTTTTTTGCCAATTTTGGTCCAAACGCAACGACTTTTGTTGTCCCTGCTGAGATTTTCCCTGTAAGGCTACGATCTACGTGTCATGGCATATCAGCAGCATCTGGGAAAGCTGGGGCAATTGTTGGGGCATTCGGGTTCTTATATGCAGCTCAGAATCAGGACCCAACTAAGACAAATAAAGGGTATCCACCGGGTATTGGTGTGAGGAATGCGCTCATGGTTCTTGGCGGAGTCAATTTCTTGGGTATGGTGTTTACATTCTTGGTGCCTGAGTCGAAAGGCAAATCATTAGAGGAAATGTCTCAAGAGAACAAGGAAGATGAGGACGGATCGACAGAGATGAGACAGCAGACCTGTCATCGGCATATCAAAATTTGTTGATCAAGGCCATTGTTCATGCAAGGTCTAATATTTAATTGATTGTTTTTGTTCTATAATCCTTTTTAGTTCCACAATTTTCATAGAATAAAGGCCTGTTTGATGATTGTTTTGAGTATTTTTTGTTGTAATTGTTCTAGTGAATTTTGTTTTTAATGTTTTGGGATTCTGTTTTTGAAAACCTGGTTTGTATTTTACAGCAACTATACAGAGAATGCCAACTTTGGTATTTTTTTTTCATATTCTTGTAGCAGTAGCAGCACAAAGGGGGGAGGGGAATTGATATTTCATTTCATATAATAAATATAATATATATATATATAAACGCCACTAAATGACGTCATTGACGTCATCCGTTAGTTTGGAACGGGAGTTAAGACGGATGTCAAAGCTTTTGCGGCGTTTTCAAAAACGCCGTCTAATAGTTTTAGCGATGTTTTGTAAACATTGCAAAGCTATTGCGGCAGCCATATCAACGACGAAAATTTAAACGTCGCTGTAACGTTTTTTGGTGTTTTTCAGGCTTTTAGCGGCGTTTTAAAACTCGTTTTTCTAGTAGTGTTTCCATGATTTATAGGTCCACCACAATATATTACCATTCTTATTTTCTTTCCTCACCACAATCTATTACCATTTTGATTTTCTTTCCTCACCGACATACCACTATTATTGACGTCATCACTTAACCCATACACTATTTATTTATTTACGCTATGTTTAATTGAGAAATTTAAAAAGAAATTTGAAAAAGAAAAAAAAAGTAAAATATGAATAAAATATACATATATTTCACCTAATTTTATACACATTTTCTTTTTTTTTTCTTTCCAAATCGCTTGTCAAAGAGTAATGTTAGAGATCTTAAAAATTCTACCAAATGTCTACATTTGGTAGAATTTCTGAGATCTCTAACATTTTTGCTTCTGAAATTCTCCTACCAAACACAACATTAATTTCCCCAATGCAACATTTTTCGAGGTGATTGGGAGAGGAGTTGGGAATAATGAAGGAAGGTGTGATGATCCCGCCACGTATAATATTTTACATTTAATTAATTCTTATTCTGATTTAATTGTGAAATTCTCAATAAAGTGAAATTGACGAATTGAATTTTTTAATTTCGAGTATCAGACTATATGAGAGTTTAATTAAATATCCGATTCAGTTTAGTAAAGTTGAAATTTTATTAATTGGGTCCGAATTGAAGTTGATTAAGTTATAAAATATATATATATATTTTAAATAAATAAATAATAATACTGATAATAAAATAAATATATAAAACAATATATCCAATTACATAGCTATATGTGCTAAATGTAATCTAATTTGACATTGGGTTATCAAATATGTGATTAATATATTATTTGAGGCCAAATGAATACAACTATGAGATTATGAGAATAATTGGGCCAAATGATAATATAGTGAAAGGTGTGCCATGAGTTGGACCCATATGAGATAGGCCATTTGTTAAGCCTATGAAATAGGTGGCATGAATCAGCAATTAGAGTGATTAATTATGGGGTGAGTCACCACTATAAGCTCTAGTACAAAAGAGTGAATATGAAGCCACGAAACCAAAGAGAAAAAGAGAGACAAAAAGGAAGAAGAAAATAGTCTCAAAAAGTTAGTGGAAATAGGAGAGAAATAATAGGAATTAATATTAAGGTGAGTTATATTATACTTTGAGTCACCATAATATATTTTACGTATGTTTTGAATTACCATAATTTATTTTATACAAGTTATATTTTATAACTTGTATTTATATTTCAATTACGTTAATTATTTTTTGAACTCCATTTGCTTATATTGAAACCCATGGATATATTTGTTTAAATTTTAGAAATTATTTGATAATGATTTTATAAGCAATTATTTTCTATAAGTACCACCACGGGAGTCCCATGCCTTGGGAGATTTAAATAACCAGTGGCCTCTGTTTGACCACTTTGTGGTCCTCTGTTTATCATGAATCCATTGACCTCTGTTCTGATTGTCACTTTGGTGACCTCTGTTCTGTTTTGTTTTATTCGGTACCGTGATTATGATTATTTGCTTATATAATTTCCGCATTCTGCTTATGTTATTTAAAATTAGTTATGTATTTCAGCTACCAAACTAATCTCTGTTTAGCCAAATAATTATCCATGATAATTTTTGTACCTTCATGCTCACTGTATAATATTTCTCGCTTTGCCATGTGGTTATAGTTGTCAACCACTTTTAAGTAACGTGTCAAGGCTAGTGCATGGGGTAGGCACAAGGCACTTGTAGTCATAGTACAACTCTGGAATTGCAATTGAATTGAAGCTCCAATATATACGTTTTTGTTATATTTAAATAAGATTTGGGTACCCTTTTATTTTACTCTGCTGCACTATTAATTTGTTATGACTTCAGTTATTAGCTTGTCGTAATGCCGAACCTCTCGGTACCAGGTTTGGGTCATGATAAAATGGTATTAGACCAATGATTTTTTTTAAAAAAAAAATATTGGAGTATAGGACACACACACAATTATGTAGTGGGATAAGGGTATACATGATAAGTTTGTGCGATTTTGTACCAAATTTGATGTAAACATAACAGGAAAATAAAAATGAATGGCACCAGGTGCTGCCAGTGGTGAGTAAGAAAGAATAAGTGTTGTGCACCTTGTGTGTTTGGTCTGCATGTTTGGTCCGTATCTAAATAGAAAAAGAAAAAGATTAATTGGCAAGAGTGGGTGGTAGGTATAGGAAAAGAAAAGTGAAAGGGTTTCTGAAACTGTCAGATTTTAAGTTGCTCAAAATCAAGTTTCGAGCATACAGGAGGTAGGTCTCAACAAGAGGAGTCTAGACCTAGAAAGAATAGGCAAAACGAAGATCGGAGTGGACTACACGCGCCGGTCAAATCTTTGCACGTAAAGTCAACATGAAATTAGAAAGCCACGCACAGCCAGAGGTTAAAGATGACCATTTGGTAGCTAATCTAGATACTTTAAATATTTATTTGGGACAAGAGTGAGTTTAGCTTAGTGATTAAGGCGTATGGTACTAACAATGTAATCAGGAGTTCGAATCCTCTTAACAGCGTTCGAGGATTTAAATGTTTAGGTAGATATCATCACAGAATATTTTGTTAATATCAACAAAATATTCTGAAGATTGCAATCGGTCCTTAAAGTTTTCAAAAATTACAATTCGGTCACGGGGTTCCTAGAAATTTTCATTTTGGCTCCTGTAGTTGTGAAATCACAGTTTGGCCCCAGGAGTTTGAGAAATTTGCTCTTTTATATTTAAGGATGGAAATGATAGGTGGTCAGTCATGTGTTTGGCATTAAAATTTTGTGTGATCATACATACAGAAGCTGTATGCATCTAGTAAGTAAGTGATAAATTGTGCATTCAGGAATGTGTACATATGTAAGTATTAAGGTTAAAACCTATGAGCTATAGGGAACTTTGAGGATTATAAGAGGACCGAGACGTGTTTAGTAAATAGCCTAAGCATTAGGTCTAAGAATTTAGAGCTGTTATTAAATGTTGATAATTAGAAGGAAACTGAAATGCGATGTTTAGTAAGTGTGGTATTAAGGCCAAGAGCCAAGAACTATTGAGGAATGTCTAACGTTATAAGGACATTAGAATTGTTAACTGGTATATTAGGGAGTACAAATATGATGACTTGTGAAACTACAGGTTTATAGGAATTAACGATTATTATGGAACTTTGACGATGAAAATAGGCTGGGATATGTTTGTTTAATAAGTTTAGTGTTGAAGTGAGGAGCTATTGTGAAATCTATGATGCGATAAGGAAAACGTAATTTTTGACTTGCACATTAGGAAATGCAAGCATATTGATGGAAGTAATGAAAGCTATGTGGTTACATGTGAAGGTAAGCTATAAGAACATTTCGGGAAGTTGAAATATCTTATGATGAATGAAGAGCATGGAACTATGGTAATTGGAGGCTAGGAAATTATTTAATATGAAGAAGGTATGTTGTTTTTGGGAGGGACCTAATGTCTGAGCCATAGGTTCTCATACTTTTGTTGAGTGACCTTGCAAGTCTGATTGAAATCAGGTTCGACCGGCGTAGCTTCACATCTGAAATTCTCACTCAACTTCATGGAAATGAATAGGTTGCCCTATTGATGACCTTGTATAAGTATTTGACTTACAGTTGAATATGTCGTGTTATGTTCCAAGCTAACTAATATTACCCCAAGTATTATCTCATTTTGCCTTGTGACTTAAGGAAAAGATGATGAGAAGTGCAAATGATGTGGAAGTTGTTGAATCTTTGTTAGAATGTAATGAAACCTATGCAAACATGTCATGAGAAACGACAAGGATCAAAAGAAAAAGTTAAATGTGGAATTAACAAGAGAATAAAAGAAGATATTTAGAAGTTTTGTGGTACGAGAGGCAAACAATCCTAAGCAAAGTCGTAAAAAAATGAGCCTACCCTCAACATGTCCAACGTATTAAAAACCGCATAGACAGTTATGTCATTGACTTATGAGTGGATACTTTAATAGGACATCGGATGAGAGATTGTCAATAAAAATAGAGCAAAATAAATAAATAAACAAATGTTAGTCAATGCAAAAAGTCTTGAATTAGAATTGACACCCTTCTAAATACTTGAATTGATTGTGGATAAATTTAGAACTCATCTACTTGAGCATTTGAAACTTGATTGAGATTGTTATAAGGAAACTATTTGCAAAGTGTCTATATGTTAATGGATTCAAGATCCATCCATTCATTTGAAGTCAATTGTTATAAGATAAATGTATAATTGGGAATATTATTGGGTAAAACTGTTTCATCGCTAGTTAGAGAATTATATTATTTGGGAACGTTGTACTATAAGTATGGCCCGATACTTTCGATATGGACCCTTGAATGTAATGTTGCATGTGAATGGATTTTCGATCTATTAAGTGAATGTGATCATATACCTAAGTGAGTCGTTTTTGACTTCTAAAATTAAATAGTTATCTTGT